AAATCACTTGAAAATCAGCTGAATTCTTTATCCAAATCCCAACATTTGATGCTTTAACTGTTGCAACAAGCTCTGCAAAATACTTTTACTTTTTATTCTTAAAGTAAGTTTTTAAAAAGGCACTTCAGTAGTTTTACTTTAGTTTTTTTCATGTGATAGTCTTACTTTTATTTGAGTAATCGTTTACCTCTGTATCTGTACTTTTACCTAAAGTAACAAAATTGAACTTCATCGACCATTTGTGAGGAATAATTTGGGTCATTGCAAACCGTTGAACTGCTGATGTTTTTGTGCTTTTAAAACTGTGTAACTTTTCTAGTGGAGGGTCACCTCACCTGCTTGTTTCTATGGATGTGTCATTGCTCTGCCTGGAATCTTCCACAATACAGCATTAAACATCTCTACCTTACATTTATTCAATTACAGGTGGTTTTATAACTCCAAAATACTTAGAAAAACAGACATTCTGACTGTGAGCGAGGTCGTCTCTCCCCAGATCTGATCTGTAACTTGGCCTGGTGTGGTCTTCATGAAGATAGAAAGGTTTAATACCATATTGTGAAACTTTCTAGACAAAGCAATAACATCTCCACAGAGAAAAACGTCAGACGGACACTCCACCAAAAAAGTTTCAGAAAAATAAGAAGAACTATACACTAGTCATTCGCTCAATACTCGGTGGTAAACTACTATTGTAGTCACAGCAGCCCTGAGGCAGACTGACAGAAGCAAGGCTGCCAATCTATGCCATCAACTCCTCTGTGTCTTACTTAAGGACACACTGACAGAACCTGGTCTGAACAGGAATCAATGCAAATGGGCCGTGTGAGTCCGGGACCGCGCTCTTATCGCTTCATTCACGCTCAAATGAGCTGATGCGGCGCTTTGCTTCAAAGATACCACTGGGATGGTTTAATGAAACAATACGCACGCAAAAGAAACATGGATACAGTGTTTAAAACGAAATATTAGGTTTATTAAAGCCCGCATCGCCACATGTTGACACATCGCAGCCAACAGATCCATAACACCGCTCCCTCCAACAGAAAGCTGCACGTCACGCGAGCGAGCAGTGCCATTTGTACCAAAATCATAAGGCTACGCTGCTGAATCCTACATGTATCATGGATTAAGAAAATAAAATTGTAGGAAGAAGTGAGTACAGAGCAGTGGGCGTATGCCGGTGGCGGTGAACACAAGGATTGATCGACAATATGGCGTTTTGAAAATAAGTGATTAAAGATTACTCAAACATGCACGAATCACTCCAAATACAACTTTGGGAGGTAAAATGAGAAGGGGAAACAGTTTTAACATGATTAAAAAACTCTGAAAAGACACTTTTGCAGAATAGGTCTGCTTTAACAAAGATCATCGCTCATCTGTTTTCAGGTATTTGGTACTCTGTATGTTTTATGTATTTGATTTTAAACAATTTTAACTAGATAACAGCTGATATGTTCTCCCGTCTTTCACATGGGCCGTTTCTGTGATTTCAGTCCAAATGCGCTCATTTGGAAGTGAGCTCCTCTGGTGTCAGGAAAACAGGGCTGCTGGACCTGATGGCCTCTGGCTGTTTGCCCCATGTGTTTGAGCAGGAGGTGATGTTTGACAAAGCTCTGTGCACAGAGAGAGACATGGTCAAAGTCAGGACACATGCACACAGGAAGCTCGCATGGACACACATTTTATGCAATGGTTTTGTAATAGTGTGATACTCCCAAGTTGGGTTGTGCAATTAATTGAATTTTAATCGAGATTGAGTCATTTCTAACCATCAATGTCTTTTTAATGGCGAGGTCCTCATTGCGTGTGGTCAGCAGATGGAAGAATTTGTCTGTTTTATGTTCAGGAAATAAATATTGAGAGACATTTTTATTTATTTTTTTATAAGACAACATTCCTATCAATCAGTATGACCAAAAATATGTAAATTTTTGTCATATCATCCAGCCGTCCCCAAGTTAAAGAACTGGATGTAATAGCACGCTAATTAGACTGAGAGGCTACTGCGGCTTGGTTAGCATGTACAAATGCAGATAAAATATTGCTTGCATACATTGAAAATAAATACAAATAAAAGGAAATGTAAAAAAAAGAGTGAAATACAATTGTATTTTAAAAAAAAAACTGCTCAAGGGCAACTTAACTAAGCCTATTTTTCTGTTAAGTCTATATCACAATGCCAGCTGAGATATAGCAACGCTAGCTATTGTCACTGCCTGATTTGGAGCACGATCTGGATCCGTTTTTCAAACTGAGCATGCCCAGACACTTGGGCACAAGTTGTAATCACACTTTGGACAAATAAAATGTTTTGAGATTCGTTCAATCTCAGCTACTCTTGAAATATAAACAGTTTTACTAAAAAACTGATAAAAATGGATATGCTCAAAGTCTGTGAAAATGATGTATTTAAACTGTTAATAAGTAGGGATGTAACAATAACCGAAATATTGTGATGTCTAAGTTCTCACAATAATATCGTGGACCATCACAATATATTGAATTACATGTCTCTTTGCTTAAACTAAGAGTTATAATGCAGCAATAGCTAAAAAAAAAAAGACAGAGGGAACTACATAGACCATGATCCTTTGCTCTATTTCAGAGTAGACAACAAGAAGAAATAACTTAAAAGTGCTTAAAACTGTTAAGTTTTAGTTCTTTGGATTAAGTCTTCTTTGGATCAAGGCATTTTAAGAGGAAAAAGTAGCATATTAACAGTTTTATTAGCCTCCACAAAATATCGTAATAAATATCGTACCATGAGATGTATATCGTGAAAATATCGTACAGAGAGATTTGGATATTGTTACATCTCTAATTGTGAGCTTTCCCACAATATCGCAATAATAGGCTCATACCTTGACGATATCGTATTGTGAGACCTGGATATCGTTACATCCCTAGTAATAAGCGTCAGAAAACAGAGCAGAGTTGTGTAAAGTCTGACTTAAGTAAATCAGCTAACTTTCATGGTTATATACACAATCATTTTTTCTTTCCATTTCTTTTAAGTAAACTCCAAAATTGTCAAACTTTGATATGAATAGCCTATATTTAATCTCACCAGCACAAACATAATAAACTTTTAAAACACTTGCCAAGGTGCCAAATAGTTCAATGACAAAATAAATTGGACATATGTATGCTAGTGTTTGAGTTAGCTTATGAAGAGCTTTTTAACGTACCTCATTTGTACCAGGCCAGTCCGACCATGTAAAACTTTTGTGTTCACAGCGCCTCCGAGTTTGACAGTTATGAAAAACGAGGTGTGCGAAGTGGAGCCATTTGCACACTCCACAAGAATCATCTGTTACCAAAATGACAGCAGAAACACGCTAAATGGCTAGCTACGCAAACAGAGCCGCACCACAGGTCAGGGGTCAAACATTTTCCCACCCAAAATGGCAGACGCGCAGATATTCATTGCTAGGCTACTGTAGTCTGCTGTAGGTCTTTGTAGGCCGAGGTGGAAGCTTTAATTTTTTTTTAAGAAGCCATATTTTGCTAGTTTCTGACCTAGCCTATGTTATAATGTAGTTTCCTCATCACAAACATACCCAGAGTTGTGTCGTGTTTTGTTTCATTCACACAAGTTTAACACACAAATATTAAGGCTAAGTTCTTCTCTCAAACTGAAAATACCCTGTTCCACCTTGTGATGTCATGTCATGTTGGATCATTTAACTCATTTAACTTGAAAACTACTGCTTCATGACATCACAAGGTCGAACACGGCATTTTGAGCATAGGTGATGTAGAAAGACTAATAAAAAAGTATTACTCAAACGTGTGAATGAAACAAAACACAACTCTGGCTTTGTTATTGAGGAGGTAACAACATAACAACATTGCAACATGGTTTAAAGCTCATGAGAGTCAATTTTGCGTAATATGTGAAATAAATAGACCACATGTTTACACTGACAGAACTTCTAATTCCTTTTGCGTAAGGTTGTCAAAAGTAGCGAAATCAGATACTAAAACTAGTATTGAAACTAAATACTCATTTCAACATTGACAGTACAGAAATGAGCCTTTCCTGAATGTCTTTATAAAGATTTTGAGCTGTATCAGAAAAAGTATAAGACCACATAGACTAGTATACACCTGTAGACCACTATGGAACCTACTAGGACCACCGAGGAATTACACAGATATTAATAAAAACAATGTTAAAATGTAGGGATGGAACAATAACCGAAATATCGTGATATCGTATCACCAAAGTTCTCACAGTAATATCGTGGACCATCACAATATATCAAATTACAAGTCTCTTTGCTTAAATTAAGAGTTATGGTGCAGCAATAGCTAAAAAAAAAAAAAAAAAAAAAAAAAGACAGAGGGACCTACATAGACCATGATCCTTTGCTCCATTTCAGTGAAGACCACATGAAGAAAAATCACAATTCTAAATACTTTTAAAATTTTGTTCTTTGGATTAAGTCTTGTAAAGCAATCGCAATAAATATTAATATATAAGTATTATAAGTATTATGAGGTTCATACCATGACGATATCGTGAGACTAGGATATCATTACACTTCTATTAAAATGTAAAGAAAAGGCTAGCATTTAGCACCTTAACATGTCTATTGGTTTAACATTAGGCTAAACAAAAGGAGGAGAAAACCTTGGCCTCTATTCATAAGTTACTCATTACCATTAAAAACATACAATATTTGGTTTTGAATGATTAATTACATGGTAACAGTGCTAATTTTTCATCTGGGTTAGCATTGTAAACTAACAGCGGAAAGTGGAATCAATCAGCTATGCTACAATAAGTCAGTGTTTTGTTTTGCTTATGTTTTTTTTTTCTATCTGTCTTCATTCAAATAAACAAAAACAAAAAAAAATCACTTTGTCATTTTGATAATGTGATAATATAAGATATTTTTAGCATTAGCCTGTATTTTAGTAGTAGTATTTCACCATCATAGCAGTCTTCACTAGTTTACATACTTCTTTTACGTGTCTTATGCTCTCAGGTGATGTGGTGGAGGTACTTCCAGAGCAGGGGGTCAGCGAGGGGCCCGTCCTGCCGCAGAAGCCCAGCAAACAGGCCCCGTGGCTGGGACCCAAAGAGACGGCGGTCCGGCAGCACAGGCAGGAGCTCAAGACCAAGATGAAGACCAACAAAGTGGAGGAGGTGAAGCCAGCTCGCCCTAAACAGGTACTCACCGCAACTACACATATGAAGTACTCTGAGGCAGAAAAAAGAAAGAGAAAAAAAAAGAGATTCAATTAGACATTAGTAGTATTGCAAAAGCAGTAACAGTGTGTAGTTACTAAGTTAGGCAAATATTGATGGTTCGAATCCTGCTCTCAGCATGGACATGGAAAACAGAATTGGTAGAACCATCAGATCTACTTACCCACAGGTTGGTGGTGCAATTCCAGCTCCCACAATGCTGTTCTTGTTTCCTTGGGCAAGACACTTCACAACCCACTTCATTGGTGTATGAGTATGTATGTAAGACTCTTTTGAGTGCCTCAAAGGAGGAAAAACACTATCAAATGCGACCATTTACAGTGGAGTGGAAGTAGTAATTTAAAGTATACTTTATTGATGCCTCGAGAAGGAAATCTATCCTCTGAATTTGACCCGTGGGCCCTTCGATGTCACCCATCTCCAGATCATGAGCTAGTCTTGGTCAGGACTAGCCAGGCTGGTGCCAACTAGTGCCTCCGCTCAATTTCATTTCTCTCCAACGACTAGGTCAGGAATCAGAATACACTAGACAGTTCGTAAAAAGTGAAGTGCGAGTTTGGGCACCAGCCAATCAGAGAAGAGCCATACATTCTGTGTTGGCAACAATTCCCAAGATCGAGGATTTAAAGCTGGAACAAAGAGACTGGTGAATTTTATCAAGGGGAAGAATGTTATTGTCTTTATTCCTACGGGATTTGGGAAAAGGTTAATATACCAGTGAGCCCCGTTAGCGTCACATTACAAATGTCACGACCAAATAGCAGCGATTGGTTAAATAAAAAAGTACACGCCTACTGTTGAGCGAACAAATCCTAATGCTGCAAGGTCAGACGGTTTCTCTGATAGAAACCGGCTGATGAATCAGGCTAGGTCAGGACCACTTTAGCTGGAAGATTTTACTGTGCATGTTTTTGTTTGATGGGCGAAATCTGAGTTCCCGCAGGAAACCCACCTAAACACAGGGAGACCTTACAAATTACACACTTGTTATGAAGTGTGATCAGCCACTGTGTTGTAGTAGTAGTAATTTTAAGCCTAGTAGTAGAGGGTTAGGGTTAGAAAACCATTGAATAATAACAACAGTAGTGGCATAAACAATTGCAATTGACTGTCTGTAATAGTAGTAGTAGTAATAGTAGTAGTACTTGGTAGTAGTTGGTACTAGTTGCAGCAGCAGCTCAGTTCTGCCTCCTTCTGGACACCTTCCCTAATTACTTTACTCAAAAAAACAATTTATGTCCTTGAATGTCTGAAAAAGGAGGAAAAAAGGATTACTTCTACCACTGAAAATAATCATATAATAAGACATTTGTATTAGAACAGCTCGTATTAAATATAGGTCAAGAAACGCTGCCCAATACAGTAAAAAATGTACTACTAACATAAAAATACAGTGCCCAGTGTTGGTATAATATTTAGAAGTTGAAATAGATGAGTAAATGAGCAGTCCGTGGGGAGATTTTCCTGCCGTGAAAACACATGACGGTGTTTCTCCAGCTGGGCCCTGCTCCTCTGTTTCCATCCTCCATAAAAGCGTTTCAAAGGTTAGGCCAGACTCACCAACACTGGCTCTGTGTGAGGAGGAGGAGGCGCGGGGCCCAGGGGAGAGGGAGGTAAACCGGCGGTCACTGGCACAACCTGCATGCAGTAAGGACAGAGGGGAGAGAGCAGCCAAGTTAGAGTATAGTTACTTCTAAATAATAGAACTCAAGTAGAAGCACGAAGATGCAAGTCAAGTAGGAGTGGAAGAGTCAAAGGATAGACACAAAAATGAGAGGAGCGCTGCAAGGAACACAAATGTTCAAATCATTTTATATTGTCAACATAAAGCTTTTGTCCCTTGTACTTACTCACAGTGGGACGAGTAACTAGAACATTTACTCAAGTAAGAGTACTGTTACACTGTAGAGCAGGGAAAATATCATATGAAAACTACTTTGACTTAAATTAACTTGTAAAAAAGTAGTACTACTAACCACTAATTACAAAAGAGTGGATCAGAAAAATACTATTCATTATATAAAGCCAGAATATTTGTTCATTACTATGGCAACGGCCCTAATTTTACACTTCATAAAACCCATGAAGCATAGCAAAAGTGCAACTGATTGCTGCAAAATTCCTTTCCAAAATGGCTTGAAAATGCATATATTACATTAAAAAACTGTTGGATAAAATGTTTAGTTGTTTTTAAAAATAACAGGTTTAATGCAGATGAATAGTCTTACAAAAAATAAAAATCTCAAAAAATTTTTGATAAAATGAATTTGTACCATTGTTTGACATCGTATCCTTCCAAACTCTCCTGACGATTCAAATATTTATCGCATGTTTGGGATTTTCAGATGTGTTTGTGCATATTTCGTACAGACGCAGTGCCAGCAGGAGTTGGACCAGGTTCTGGAGAGGATTTCTAAGATGCCCTTCCGAGATAACCGAGGTCCACTGGAGGATCTGTACGCCCTGCACATCCCCAACTGTGACAGGAGGGGGCACTATAACCTCAAACAGGTGAGCACACGTTACACTTTACTCCACACTACTAAACTGAATGGATAAAGTTAATATAAATAGAAATATGACTTTAATTATTGTCCATGCCACTACTGCTAATAGTACAATAGCATTAGTATTGAAAAGTGGTAGAAGCACTGTAGTAGTAGTAATGTAGCAAGAGTAGTGCAATAAGATGTATTAAAAGGAGGAGGAAGTGTATATTAAGTTTTATTGGGGTTGGTAGCAGCAGTGCTAGTAATACACCGAGCAGCAGTACTTTTACACACTACAAATACTACTAAACTAAGACTACAGCCACTACTACTACCACGACTAACATCATTCTACTACAACTTCTACTTTGTCTATTTGTTTCTAAGTAAGTAATTAATGTATCAAATAAGTGGCTAAGTGTCTTGCTCAAGGACACAATGCTAGAACACAATACATGTAGTGGATTACCTACTACTACTAAAACTATTACCACTACTCCTACTACTATGGACTTTTTAATGAATAAATACTACTATTACAATAACTACTACTAATACAACCCAACTACCACTACTAAAACTGCAACTACTATCATTACTACTACTGCTAATTTGCTAAATTACTACTACCGCAACCACCACTATTACTACCAGTACTACTAACATCATTCTACTACAACTGCTACTTTTTCTATTTGTTTGTAATAAGTAATGAATGTATCAAATATATTTATAGATTTCTATAGGCTTTTGGGTCAAGTGTCTTGCTCAAGGACACAATGGCAGAACACTACTACTACTACTACTACTACTATTACTAACATCATTCTACTACAACTGCTACTTTTTCTGTTTGTTTGTAATAAGTAGTGAATGTATCAAATATATTTATAGATTTTTATAGTCTTTTTGGGTTATGTGTCTTGCTCAAGGACACAGTGGATAGAGGATTACCTACTACTACTAAAACTATTACCACTAGTCCTACTACTAGGAGTTATCCTTTAATGAATAAATATATTATAAAATATACTACTATTACAGCAACTACTACTAATACAACCCACTACCATTAAAAAGCTGCTACTACTACTACTGCTACTATCACCACTACTATCGCTACTATTAAAACTGCTACTGCTACGTCTACCATGGTAACTCGGCCTACTATGATTACTACTACAACTACTACTAACACTATGGAATATGACTTCTTTGTTATCCCGCTTGTATTGCAGTGTAAGATGTCCCTCCACGGGCAGAGGGGGGAGTGCTGGTGCGTGAACCCCCACACGGGACGCCCCATCCCGGCCGCGCCCACCGTCAGAGGGGACCCCAACTGCGCCCAGTACCTCACCGAGCAAGACCTAGAACTGCCCGACCTGGACCAGATATGAAGCGCAAACTATAACCAAAAGAAGAAGTCATACCAAAACATCTGAGTAAGCTATTTACAACGTCATCATCGTCTTCACGACTGTACCAGCACTAAACATAGAGAATAGTTTTAGATTTGTAAAATGTTGAACTAAAATGATGCTACTTTTAAGGGACTGTACCTGATTTTTTTTTTCTTGTAATTAAAAAATACAGTACAGATATATTGTAAAAGCAGCCTGTATCAAGTACAAAGCATTTTTATCCTCTGCGAACCAGGAAATAAGGCTGGTGCGCTGTTAGCATGCTAGTTGTTATCAATATTCTCAACTCAAACCAGTAGTAGTGATGGTAAAAGTGCCTCTGAAAGTTGTGAAAAGCGCTGATAAACTCAATGCGGTGAATAATTAGGATACTCTGAAGACATAAGGTAAGTGAGGAAAAACTCTGGACCACTGCAAACTGATTAAAAAGAACTAATTCTGTTTTACAAGACAAAAAAATCAGGTAGAGTGCCTTGAAGAACATTTACAGACTGTATGTATCTAACAGAAGACTTGTAAGGTTGTAGAGTAGACTTGACTACATGTGAATTTAACACATTGCAAAATACTAAAAATGCTGCACTTGACTTGAAATAACACAATTAAAACCATTTCCACGTACAAATACTGTGTCCTCGAGTTTGTTAATGGAAAAATGTGTACACTCACAAGTAGATTTAGAAGTAGCAGTTATAGTAGCAGCAGTAATACCTGTAACACATGTACTTTTTAGACATAGTAGGACTAGTGTAAGTTGATGCTGATATTGTAATACTTGTCATAGTCAAGCAAAGGTGAAATAATAGGAGTAATACATACAGTAGGCTACAGGTTACACCGCAGTTACACTACAAGGATAATGAGGAAGAGGAATAGTAAGTAGTAGAATAGTATTTGTTGGTATTACCAGCAATACCTATAATAGTAATAGCAGCAGTAGACGCACTAGTAGTAGGAGTATTAGAAGACGTGTGTCCCTCTTATAGTAGTATTAGCAGCATTACTAGTAGTAATAGAAGATAAATACTGTAAAATCAGTGGCAGCACTAGTCTTCCTTGTAGTAGCAGTACAAGGCTAGGTTAGTTGTAGTAATAGAAGTAAAATTACTTGTAGGAGCAGAATAGAAAGAGGAAATAGTAGCAGTTATGAAGTGATGCTCCTAGTAGTAAAAGCTGTACTTTTACATGTACCTTTTAGATACAGTAGGATAAGTTGATGGTGGTATTATAATACTGTAATACTTGTCATAGCCAAGCAAAGGTGAAATGATAGTAAGTACTACTCTAGTAGTACAAGGAGAATGAGTAGGAGGAATAGTAGCTTTTAAAGTAGTAGAAGTAATATTTGTTGATATTACCAGTTGTAGAAGTAGTTTTAGAAGTAGCAGTAATGACAATGGTTGTTGTAGCAGCAACAATACCTAAATAGTACAAGCAGCAGTAGACGCACTAGAAGTAGTTGTAGTAGTAGTAAGAGTATTAGAAGACATGTGTCCCTCTTATAGTAGTATTAGTAGCATTACTAGTAGTATGCTACTAGATAAATAGCCAGTGGTAGTACTAGCGTTCCTAGTAGTAGCAGTACAAGGCTACGTTAGTTGCAGTAACAGAAGTAAAATTACTTGTAGGAGCAGTATAGAAAGAGGAAAGACAGTAGTAGCAGCAGTGAAATAATACTCCTTTTACATGTACTTTTTAGACATAGTAGGATTAGTATAAGTATAAGTAGTAGTATAAGCAGTAACACTAGTAGTACAAGGAGCAGGAGTGGGAGGAATAGTCGCTTTTAAAGTAGTAGAAGTAATAGTATTTGTTGATATTACCTGTAGTAGAAGCAGTGGTAACAGTATAAAGAAAACATTAGAGATAATTGTAGTAGTAGTCATCTTTGTAGTAGAAGTAGTAGAAGGTAATTTTAAATAACATATCCAAACATGCCGATAGTGGGTACATGAACTTTATTTAAATAGTACTTTGCCATTACAAAAAGTACATCAACGTCACTCCTGATAAATATTTCACCATTATGTTCACATTATGTCATCTCGCCTTTGTTTACATGTGCTACCAACAAGAAGAAACAGAGAATCGGCCTGTGCAGCCTGCGTCATTAGATTTAATAGGCTGCGTTCACGTGACATGACAACATTGTAGAGTTCCTGTAGTTTAAAGTGAGCTGGACAGGTCAGGATTCTGCTGAAATTTGTGTCAGATGCAGATTTGTTGATTTGGTTTATGGTTCATATTTCTGTAATGACCAGGCCTATCCACATGAAACAAATACTGGCACTAAGTTCAACGTTTTTTCAGTATAAATAAAGAAAAGTGATTATTTTAAAATTTTCAGTCGATACTTTGCAGCTGATATCATCAACATTCCTTGACGGGTGAAGCTAACTAGAAGCACTGCTCCATCTGAAGCTCTGTTACACAAGTTAGAGTGTAAACTAAGCTTTGTTTTCACACAATCTGACCACAAAGGACTGATTTAGCTGGAACTACAACAGGTAAGCCGATTTCTGGAAACATGTGAGTCAGCATAGTCGCATTTTCTTAATGTTTTGGTCATTTTTAAGCAGCTTTTATTGTATTTTACCTAAACAAATGACAATTTATGCCTCTCTACTGTTGGAAGGGATCAGTTTGGTCAAAAATAGTGGCATCTAGGACATTTCTTGTAAAAACTGGGACAAATCACTGTTTTTGGATAAATCTGTGTAGGACTGTCCTGGGTAAATGGGGACAGTGGCTCAATTTGATTTAGAATTCAGCCCATCTAAAAACTCATTAGGCTGTCTTTGCTTAATCTGTGTCTCGCCATTGTAACTGCTCGACTTTCCCCTGTAGACACACATGCAGTACCCCCCCTTCCCAGCGTGATGTCACCGCAAAGTATCAATAGCTTTAGGGAGTCATTTCATCATTCAACCCTAAAGATGTTATTGTTGTCATCTGAAAGGCCTTTAAGCCGTAAGATTAATATGACAAGTTTGTGAAGTCAATCCCAAACAAATAATGAAAAGTTTCAATATTTGTGGATTAGAATTTTCAATAGAGTAAATCCTCTGCCCACCTGAAATTATGGCATCATCGAATTCTAGAACGTGAACGCAACCTATTTTCGTAAAGTGTCCAAGATACGAATCCTACATGGAAGCATATCTTTTCTGCAGCAGTGCTTTTTAGCGAGGGAACCTGCCACCATTTGCTTGTACCCATAATGCAAATCATATTTAAAGCAGGGAAGCCAGGGAAGAAGGCACTTGGATTTCCATACAAACTCGGTGACCTGGCTGCACACAGGAGGAGGAGGAGGAGCCGGAAAAGAGTGGATTTGCCTGGGAAGGAGAAGCAAGAGACCCCCCCGCGGCAGGGATGGGACCAAGGAGGGGTCTTTTGCGTAAGAGTTCGGGCACGGGAATGTCAAGCGTCAAAGGGTAAAAACACATTCGATAGCATGCATACCATAACTGTACATACATATACAATCACCATCGACGAGATATGGAAAATAATATGTCACAAAATGTATGGGAATCCGGGATATGTCGGATGTGCTTACAAAAATTACAAAGCAAGTGTTTTAATATGAATGACACCGAAAGGAGTTCATTTTTTAGAAACAATACCAAAAAGTGCCCCATATATTACGTAAATGTTAAAATCATGTTTTTCGCAGATGGTTCATTCAAACGTATATAACTTTTCTGGTTGCTATGGTGATGGTTTTGCTTTGTCTGGAATATTCCGCAGTATGGCATTGATGCATCTATCTACGTTTTGCTATTTTCCCCCCCAAGATACCTTAAAAAACATACATTCTTACTGTGAGCAGGTTTGCCTCTTCATAGATCTGACTTGCAGCTTGTCTCCATGGAAATAGATATGCTTAATGCCGTACTGAGGAATCATTCTGCGCAGAACTGTAACATTTCCATGACGATAAGCAGGTAGCACACCAGAAAAGTTACATATTGCACTTTTATAGTTGTTAATTTTTATTTTTTTGTGCAAAATAATTTTTGGTTTTAGAAAAGAAAAACAAAACACTAGCTAATCATGGGTTTGGAATTTGTTAGATAATTATTTTTACAAGGCATTGAACTTTTGATGCTAGATTTAGCTTAAAAATGGCACAACATAGAAAATTAGCGAATTTGAGTTAGCATTACTCAAACCTTTGGCACTGGGTACTTCAATCAATTTTGGCATTTGCTCAACCATTTACTTTTCGATTACTCAAAAATGTCAATTTCGTTGCACACAAAAATATCAAGTCAGCTTAACTTATTCCGGCTAATTGGAATGAATTGAACTCCATACGTCATTACGCTAATGCTAGCTCGCTAATTGCATTTTATATCTGTTTTCGCAATACCTTTTCAGAGCCACATGTAAAAATGTCTTGTCATATTTCACCACTTTTCAATTACATTATACAAATATAGAACTCTATGATTATGGATATAAAGATGAGGTGAATATTGTACAACATAGGGCTAAAAAAATTCACTTAGCCCCGGTTAGCAAAACGTCAGTCCACACACCTCACAAACATACATACATAGATAGTGTGTCTTTCCTGATTGGTCGGAGTGTGCTAGCTTGATTGGCAGGTGGGAGGAGGAAGGCCCATATATGGCTCACTCGTTGTTGCTCGTATTGTCCAGGTCTTTGCACTGCAGGTCTCCGCCGGCGTAGTTGATGCCCGGGATCTTCACGCCGAACTTGTCCACGCACCAGCAGATTCCGCGCTTACGGCCACGAGAAGGTTTGCACTGGAGATAAACGTCAATGAGTTTTGATATAATTGTGTACTATAAATGATTAAGAATACTTGTAGTATTTGCTTCTCATACTTGTTTTTTGTTTTGTTTTGTTTTGTTTTGTTTTGGCGAAATTCTTAAAGAGTCCATATTACATATTTTCAGATCTACTGTATGTTTTAATGTTATTTCCTCGTGTTTTGTTTCTTTCACACATGTTTAACACACAACCTGGATATTTAGATTTCTCTCAAAACTGCAAAACGCGCTGTTCCACCTTGTGATGTCATGTGGTAATGAAAGAAGTGCTCCACTGTGTTTTCAAACTCAATACATCTTCGCTGGAATCATTTGGATAATTTCAGCCCTGGAACTGCCGATCTCTACTGAACTAAAGGTACAAGGTAGCTGTTAACTTGAATAGTACCACTTCAAGACATCACAAATTGGAACAGAGCATTTTGAGGTTTGGAGATGTACTAATAAGGTCCAGGTCTGTTTTTGAGGAGGTAACAACATTATAACATGACTCAAACCTCACAAGAGTCAATTTTCTGTAATATAAGATCTTTAAAGTCTCTCCACTCTTAAATAAAGTTAAAAGATAAATAAGCTGAAGTGTCTAGTAAAAATTATTTCACGTGACTTTAAAAACAGCACAGAACAGCCAGCCTATTTAAAGCAACACTGCGTAACTTTCTGTAAATGGCACATCACATGAATAATTACAGAAATAGACAGGAAAAGAGCAGCTATTGTGTTGCAACTGTTTAGCTTCATCTATATTTCACAGAATCCTTTATGAATATTATATTCACTTTGAGTTGATTTTATTCAAGGAAGGAAAGTGCTCGAGGCCCTCAAGTCAGAAGTGTCAGTACAGCAAGTTCTAAATTAGATGCAATCTATAAGGTGATGCTATAAGGAAGTGCTTTATTCAGTTTGGAATGGAAAACTATCAGCATTCACAGTACATTAAAGGTACATTGTGTAACTTTTCTGGTGGAGAGTCTGTCAAATGCTTTTCTCCATGGAGATGTTATTGCTTTGTCTGGAAAGGTTCACAGTATGGCATTAAATTAAACCTTTCTATTGATGAAGACCAAACCAGCCAAAGTTACAAGTCAAATCTATGGAGAGGCGACCCCGCTCACAGTCAGAATGTCGTTTTTTTTAGGTATTTTTGAGCTATAAAGCCACCTATAATTGAATAAAAGTAAAGTAGAGCTGTTTAATGTCATACTGTGTAACATTCCAGAGAGCAATGGCATATCCATAGAAACAAGAAGGTGACGGACACCCAACCACCAAAAAAGTTACACAATGCACCTTTAAGAATGCAACGTTTTAATAGTTAAAACTTCACTACAAAACATTTTCAGCCAATTTGCCCCTCCACTGATCTGATGTAACTTGAAAATCACTCATAATGAAATAAACACTTGTATTTGTGCCTGTTCACTGGTTGAAATGTTCTGCAGTGGTGCTTTAATAGAGACCGCATGTACCTGTTTGCGTTTGAAGAAGCCTTTCTTGTCGCAGTTGGGCAGGTACAGAGACAGAGCAAAAACTCGAGACGTGTCCTTCATGCTCTGGATCAGATTGTCCAACCTCCTCCTACATGGGCCCTGGAAAATACACAAGACATAAACAACAAATAAACATTTCAACATATTTGAAAAAGTATTACAAAAAAGGAAAAGTACTAGTGGTATGGGGTGAAAATTACACTAAATATAGATATGTATAATTTACAAGGTTGTATACAGAGTGCGTCCAGAGACAACACTATAAAAAGTTATTACAGCGTCGTAGTACAAAGTATAAATAAATAATAGATGATGATTTGAGGCTGCTGAGAGAGAACTTTTAGAAATGTCTGGTCAGTGTAAAGTCATTTTCCTTGTCTAAACTAAACGAGACTAAACATGGCTTTGATAAACACTAGTCTTCTGTTTTATGGTTCTAGGTGATTAACAAAGCGTGGGTACCGGAAAAAGATTCATTCAGGTACCGGCAGCTATTAAAGTGGAATTAAACACTGAATAAACTTTATTTGCTCCTAAACTGGTGTCCATTTCCACATTTCCATTTTTGTGTGAGCTGGCTACATGCGCAGCTCTTGGTCAAAAACAGTCAAAAAGTCTGTGTTGTTTCCAGTGGCTATTGCAATTTCAAGTAATGCGTGACATCACACAGTATGGAGTATGGTATTATTATGAAACCTGATTAGAGCAATTTCAAGTACTACATGACCTCACACAAGACTGCTCTGATCAAAGCAATTTCAAGTACTATGTCACATCACACTGTACTGTCATGATTACAGCAATTTCAAGTACTACGTGACATCACACAGTATGGTATGATTATGAAACCTGTTTACATCAATTTCAAGTAGTACGTGACATCACACATGATTACAACCAGGTGTTCCTGATAACAAACACGGGGCAGAGTTTGAAGTCTTGATAGATCAATCACACTGTTCCTTATAGGTTCACAGTGGTCCAAATTTATTCCTCACTTTTGACTTCATAAGCACTTTTCACAACTGTCACATAATCCAAGTGGTGTTTTGTGGTCATAGTATAGCTAACAACAACTAGCAAGCTAATAGCACACTTCTTGATTTTCAGGCAAGAAAATGCTTTATAATTAGATGCACAGAGTACACAGCTTATTCTGACCTCAAGAGCTGCTTGTACAGTAAACCTGGACTGGGGTAAGACATTTTGCTTAAAGACATGGAAAAAATTCTAACTGTCTGTATCAAAAAAATATCCAGCAGCCCTCATGACATCAGTTTCAGATGAGTATACTTACAAACTCCGGGTCTGACTTGCTGATCTCGTGAGTGGCCAGGTCCATGCTGTTCGCCTGTCCCAAACGCGCTAGCTGCTTCCGGCGGTCGTTCGCCTGCTTCATGGCCTGAGCTTTCCGACTGCTGATGTGGTCCAGTCCGTAGAGGGGCACCTTACCGATGGAGGGCACGGTCTCAGGTACGGGCATCCGGGTGTCCAGGGAGTCTGCGAAGACACAAGCAGGAGAGATAAGAACATGTCAGTGAGTCAGATAAAGGTCTATATGCAACTTTCTGTGTATTAGTGTTATATTAGATTGTAAATAATAAAAGTTCATTTGATTTTTATTGTAGACATTAGGGTTGAGCAGTATCCAAATTTTGATACCGTTAAACCTTCTCAGGATTTTACCGAGGTATATGGTATTACCGTATTACCAAAAAGTTTCAGTACAAATTTGGTAAACTACAAAGCAGCACTGCTATATGGTCTATGCATATGACCTGCAGACTTATAATTCCTGAAAAGTTTCAAATGAACCATCTCCAACACGATACACACACAGAACAGACTCACTGTCAGCTGCACATCCTCTGTTGCAGAAAGAACACATATATTCCACTAAGTCGTGTCCTTTAGTTTGTCAGAAGCTGAACCGCATCAGTGCAAAAGGAAACAGCTGTTTTTATCAGTGCTTTATAGTTTATGCAACTCGTTAGTGGCCGGAATTGCCATCTTGTCTTGATCTCTCTTATGAGCGGCACGTGACAACGGAACAAAACTAATTGAAGATCATCTCCCATTATAGATACTGTTTGTTTTAAATGGTGATATCATTAAACTGAAAATACAACCACACATTCTTTTGTACTGAGCAAACAAATTTAGGTATCAATAAATTATAATATTATATTAGGTCCTAGCATATTTTTTTTTATGACAATAATGAAACTGATACTGTTGCTACTTTTTGATACCGCCGGATACCATAATACTGTATTTACCGCCCAACCCTAGTGTGCATATACCAAAAACATAATGACATTAGTTAGTGGGGGGTTATTCAATGTAGAGTTTTCATGGGTCAAATGCAGACCAAAAATGTCATAAGGACCATTGAGTCAACAAATTTGCTATAAATATTAAGCATAAAGGTGCACTGTGTAACTTTTCTGGTGTTATAGCTTTGACTGGAATGTTCCACATTATGGCATTAAGTGTTATTGTAAAACTGACTTGCAAAAAGATGCATTCTTAATGTGACCGGGCCCACCTCTAAACACCTGTAAATTGGCCTTTTTGTTTGTCTCCATGGAGATAGATGTGTTCAAGGTCATACTGTGGAACATTCCAGGCAAAGCAATAACATCTTCATGGAAACAAGCAGGTTACACAGTGAATCTTTAAGTGCATTCTCAAATCAGATCAAATGATAAACTAATCTAATCACTAATCTAACTCAAAAGTAGATTTATTTTTAATATTATATCTTCTTTTGGGGCACTATTGGCAGTTACAATAGCTCTTTTTAGTGTAAGATTTAGCATGACTTTTCAATTTATAGTTAAATAGCCATAAAATTACACTGTCAAGTTGGTTCCCATCACAAAACCAAAATGATCTGTAATAATACACGAGCCATAGACATCAGATATTAATATTCTGAACCATCACATCTGCTATATTTAACTGCACGTCTACAACCTCCTTTTAAGTCCATAACTCTGGACTTGACTGCTGAAATAACAAATCAACAGCTCGTACAAAAATACGTCCCCCAAATGTCCCATGAACGCCTCGCCTTTGGCAAGGGACTCTGGGTAATTTACATGGGGGCAAATTAAAGATGTGATGGTATTAAAAGTTAGTGAATGGACCAGTAATTAAATAGAGTTGCATAGTCACATTTTTATACAGCGCTTTTCCACCTTCAAGGCACTCAAACTCTTTACACATTCTTACACCTGTATGTACACAGACACTTGAGGTTGGCGTCATCCTCAAGGACACAACAACAGCATTCAACAACAGCATTTATGTTTATGTTGAGACACACAGACTCAGTGGACAAATACTTTACCAACTGAGCTACTGTGGCCCACAGACCTGTTGGGGGCAAACGAAGAATATGCCCATCAAGGAATTGCAAGGTTAACTGAAGTTGAACAAAGTGATATAAGTGAAGTGTCTTGCACATGCACATAATAACAGTATACACTTGCCAGTATCGAAAATCAGATACTACTCAATACTAAAACTAGCACTGAAACTATCCTGGTAGGTACGGATAGGGTTGCGCATCATTCAGAAGTTGCAGATACAATAAATACCTCGATACGATACATATCGATACAGATCTCGATACATAGACCACGATACCACACATATCTCAATACATAGGACACGATACGATACATATCTTTATAGAGTGAGTTTTCAATTCAATACAATTTAATACAATATATTTCAAATCGATCCATTACAGTTCAACAAAAAATAAAGGCTAAATCATGGCTGTGATACTAAAAGTCTTTGTTAAACCACTTCTTGATGAATATGCAAAATTAATATGAAACACAAACATTTTAACAAAATAATTTAGTAAAATATACCAAAAAAAATACTCTTTGCGATAAATCTATACAGCAGCCCACGATATCAATATGGCATTATCACATTAAATATTCTGATTTAATGTTGAAAATGGCTTCTATTGTCTAAAGAGTTTTTTTTAATTATCATTGTTGAATCGGTATTGAGTATCAAGTTTAGCATCGAGATTAGATTAGTAGATTAGTATCGAAATCAAGGTGGAAATTGTAGTATCGTGACAACACTGGCGGATGAAGTGTCTAGCTCTTGGATATAACAACAGTAGGCACCAGTAGCCAGAGCTGGGATCAAACCGCCAACTTTCGCCTGATCACTGAACGACTTCCAACTCAGTACAGTACAGCACATTGCGACCAAACTGTTCCCAGAAAACAACAGCGCAGCAAGTGGCCAACCTGCTCGTCAAGGTCCGATCTTGTCAGTTCTGCGAAGCCGAGCGCGACCGGGCCCAGGCTAGTACTTGGACGGGAGGCCGCTGGGAATACCACAGAGGGCAACAGTGGCTCTAGTATTGCTAACTGCTGTTGTGTCCTTTGGCAAAACGCTTCAGCCGCATTACCCAGCGTGAATGTGGGTGCGTGAGTAAGAGGTTGGCGGTGGCGGTGGCAGCCTCACTTCCGTCACTCTACCCCAGGGCAGCTGTGGCTAAAATAGAAGCTTGTATAGATAATGATCTGCGAAGTGATTTGAGTGTCTTGAAAGGTGCTACACAAATCCAGTACTTATCAGAACTACGTGAATACACAACCGGTTAAAGGTCTGGATACACTTTTTCATCCATGTTTCTTCTTTATTTCCATGATTATTTACATTGTAGAAGGCATTATGAATCAACTATGAATGTGGAATGTAGTAAACAAAAAATAAACCCAAAATAACTCAAAACCTGATTTAGAGTTTAAAAAAATCGAGAAAATAACCACCTTTTGCTTTGGTCACTTCTTTAAACTCTTGGCACTTCTTGACCCTGACATGGCACAGTTGCGAAATGAAAACCAGTTCAGGAAACTTCATCGTGAATCTCAATGAGTAAAGGTCAAGGGTTTACAGTGCTGTCGACAAAGCAAAGGGTGACTATTTTGAGGATTTTACTATAAAGTATACAAAACAAATATTAGTTGAGTTAGTTGCTTCGTATATTTGATGTCTTCTGTGTAAATCTGAAATGTAGAAAGCAAAAAACGACAGCAACTTTGAATGAATTAGAGGCTGTGCCCAAACTTTTGACTGCCAGTGCATGTTTAATATCTTTTGAATTGTTCCAGTACGTCTTTATATCAAATGAAAGCCTTACTTTTGTCTTTTCCTCCCCTGATCCTCGGTTTAATAAAGTTCAACCTCAAGAAGCAGACCATTCAACCAGAAAGTTCCATTAAGCTAACCACCGCACGGCCGTATTACAGCTGCCACCCTTGTCATATTGAATAACTTGTGCTAAAATTACTAATCTATGCTCCCACTCAGCAGGGGTGTTGAGATGTGACGAATCCGCAGCCAGCGCTAAAAGCTTGCCCAACCCGGGACAGTGGCGTAGCTCCCGGTTCAAATGGGACGTGTTGACATACAAGACAACATAGGGTACATTTACAGCCGCGATGGTTGCCAGGTTGGGTTAAATGCAGACCGGGAGTGTATAACTTTCGTGTGACCTAAATGAGATTATTTAGTCTGAGCCTGGCACCCCGGGCTGTGAAAACATGCTATTACGCTTGTCATATAGAGAGAGCCCCCAGGGATGTAGCCACAAGACGTGTCAGTATCTATCATCAGAACAGAAATATGGCTCTTTTGGTTCCACCCTCCAACTGTCACTGTGAAAAGTTATGAGACTGGATGAAGCTATATGGATTTATATACTGACATGATAAAAGGTAATTCTGAATCCATGTTTCATTCGTTCATTCGTTTTTCAAAATAAAACCAAAAATAAGAAAAACAACTATTTTCTTTATTATTTTTCTCCAAAACCAAAATGAAAAAATGGAGAACAAGTTGTTTTTTCAGTTTTCTATTTTGTGTTTAAATGAAAAAAGGAAAAAACGGATAATAGTCGTTTCCCGCTTCTGAAACTTAAACTGTAATGTTGGACTTTTGCGCCGCATATGGACTAAACCAGGTCTAAACCAGGACTAAATCAGGACTAAACTAGTACTGAGTGTTGGGACGGGCCTGGAGGTGTGCCCGCGTAGACTGTTGGGTGATCAGGACTGAGACCAGGACCATACAGAGACTGAGACCGGGACCGAGACCAGAGACCAGGACCGAGACCAGGACCGAGACCAGGACCAGGCCCAGACCAGGATTGAGACCGGGACCAGAGCAGGACTGAGATCGGTTTAGTCCTGTTTTAGTCCTGGGATCAGTCGTGGTTCAGTCCGGCATCGCAGTTTAGGTCACGTAAACGGGAAACGGCCTTTATCCAATTTTTCCATTATTCATTTGAGCACAAAATCGAAAACTGAAAAAAAAAAAAAACGAATCGTTATCTGTTTTGTTTTGTTTTTTCATTTTGGTTTTGGAGACAAATAATGAAGAAAATAGATGTTTTTTCATTTTCTTATTTTTGGTTTTATTTTGAAAAATGAATGAACGAAAGATACACGGATTATTCT